ATACCAAAATATTACATAAATAATAGTTATCAAATATTATTTTCATACTTCCCATTTCTTGTATGTTTATAGTATTAAAAATTTGTTAATTATATAATATTTCTACTTGATTAGTGTTGACATACGAAAAATAAGTCCATCTTGACAAAATTTAGAGTAAATAAGACTTTGTAATGCAAAAAAAAACCTGGTGTATATACAATCACAAAATTGTTTAAAGAATAATATTATGTTTATTACATCTCTTGTTCTTTCGAGTAGTTATTCCTCCCTGCACTGGTATATATCCTCGCCATTACAGGGATGTGGAATTGGAGTTTCCATATCTGGTCGTTCCTTTTTAGTAAGTCCCGCCAACAGGCGTTTTATTTGAGCTATCGCTCTGCCAGGATTCAAACCCTTCAAAAATATTATTACTTTAATCACAAATTTCGGTTTAGTTGAAGTATACCATGTGTGGCACGTAACTGTCTTGTCTCCACTAGCCTTTTTGTTGGTCTGTAGTCAACGTCTTACGCTCTGCCAATTCAAAGTATTGAACATTTGAAACAGCGAATCCGCACAGCATGTGGGGAGGTTCGTCGTGACTACGTTATAGCTGCGACTAATCGTAGTTGCTTACACTACTTAAATTTTGCTTACAAGAAAATGTACTATATACTTCGAGCATTTATAGTAAATTTATTGAAATAAAATAGCTTTCGTTATTAACACTTTTGTTGTTCCATCCTAACTTGCTGAAGTTAAAAATACAGGATGCCATTAGTCGAAAAACAATAGTTTTTGAAATTTGTTGTATTTCAATATCTGTCAGTCTGTCGAAAGTACTTGAAAAATTGTGACGACAGTTACGTGCCATACCCTGTATACTACTTTTTGGTTTCTTTTTAAATGTAATATTTAATATATGAAACCTTTGGACATGTTTTTGTGCAGTTGAAAATTGTATGACAACGGTATACCGAATAAAAATCTCGTAATTTGCTGAGTCTTTCCTTATGTTCCATATCTCGTGAATCTATTATCCATCTGTATGCCTGCGTAATTTGACAAGAAAAGTCTCGTATTGTAGACGTTTGTATTATATTATTCTTAATTACTGGATCTTTGTGTAATTTAGTAATTCTAACAACTGAACCAAATTATATCTAACACTATTTCTATACGTAATTTTTCGAAAGAAGATAGCTGAAGCCATAATAGCTGTCCACTCCACTCCTACGTTGCAAGCCTGAAATAGTAAGAGTGGGGTGGACAGCTAATACGACTTCAGATAGTTTCTTCGAAAGAAAAATAGATTGAAGCAACATCATCAAGAAATNATACCAAAATATTACATAAATAATAGTTATCAAATATTATTTTCATACTTCCCATTTCTTGTATGTTTATAGTATTAAAAATTTGTTAATTATATAATATTTCTACTTGATTAGTGTTGACATACGAAAAATAAGTCCATCTTGACAAAATTTAGAGTAAATAAGACTTTGTAATGCAANATACCAAAATATTACATAAATAATAGTTATCAAATATTATTTTCATACTTCCCATTTCTTGTATGTTTATAGTATTAAAAATTTGTTAATTATATAATATTTCTACTTGATTAGTGTTGACATACGAAAAATAAGTCCATCTTGACAAAATTTAGAGTAAATAAGACTTTGTAATGCAAAAAAAAACCTGGTGTATATACAATCACAAAATTGTTTAAAGAATAATATTATGTTTATTACATCTCTTGTTCTTTCGAGTAGTTATTCCTCCCTGCACTGGTATATATCCTCGCCATTACAGGGATGTGGAATTGGAGTTTCCATATCTGGTCGTTCCTTTTTAGTAAGTCCCGCCAACAGGCGTTTTATTTGAGCTATCGCTCTGCCAGGATTCAAACCCTTCAAAAATATTATTACTTTAATCACAAATTTCGGTTTAGTTGAAGTATACCATGTGTGGCACGTAACTGTCTTGTCTCCACTAGCCTTTTTGTTGGTCTGTAGTCAACGTCTTACGCTCTGCCAATTCAAAGTATTGAACATTTGAAACAGCGAATCCGCACAGCATGTGGGGAGGTTCGTCGTGACTACGTTATAGCTGCGACTAATCGTAGTTGCTTACACTACTTAAATTTTGCTTACAAGAAAATGTACTATATACTTCGAGCATTTATAGTAAATTTATTGAAATAAAATAGCTTTCGTTATTAACACTTTTGTTGTTCCATCCTAACTTGCTGAAGTTAAAAATACAGGATGCCATTAGTCGAAAAACAATAGTTTTTGAAATTTGTTGTATTTCAATATCTGTCAGTCTGTCGAAAGTACTTGAAAAATTGTGACGACAGTTACGTGCCATACCCTGTATACTACTTTTTGGTTTCTTTTTAAATGTAATATTTAATATATGAAACCTTTGGACATGTTTTTGTGCAGTTGAAAATTGTATGACAACGGTATACCGAATAAAAATCTCGTAATTTGCTGAGTCTTTCCTTATGTTCCATATCTCGTGAATCTATTATCCATCTGTATGCCTGCGTAATTTGACAAGAAAAGTCTCGTATTGTAGACGTTTGTATTATATTATTCTTAATTACTGGATCTTTGTGTAATTTAGTAATTCTAACAACTGAACCAAATTATATCTAACACTATTTCTATACGTAATTTTTCGAAAGAAGATAGCTGAAGCCATAATAGCTGTCCACTCCACTCCTACGTTGCAAGCCTGAAATAGTAAGAGTGGGGTGGACAGCTAATACGACTTCAGATAGTTTCTTCGAAAGAAAAATAGATTGAAGCAACATCATCAAGAAATCATCATACAGAAAAATTGTTCATTGTTTAATGAACCTTATAATCCCTTAATTTGCAAGTACATCAGTACAGTTGTAAAACACAATTATATCCTCTTTCTAAGATGGGATCATGTTCTACCCACATAAGTCCATTCCTCGTAAACTGCAACATACCTGTAAAAGAGTTGCAGGTCCCAGGAATTTATCGCCAAGCCACCAGTAAGGTGGACAGGAATAGGAACAACATGCACAAAGTACGCATTCATATGCACCATTCAGCTTTTTCCTGTCTCTAGGGCTCTGTAAAATTTGTCGAATACCAATAAAATTTTCTTCCCCCGGACGTTTTAAATATGGCTGGATAGTTTGATATTGTTTCAAAAATTGTTCCATGTCAGTTATCAAATCTCTGATAACATAGCAATGTGGTAAAGGGTATATAACTATTGGTTTGGATGATTCTGGTACTTTCCTATATATATATAAGAGAGGAAATTAAGTATTATAATGCTGTTCATCAATCTGTTATGAATAATTGTTGAATAAACCAGATTTGTATACTGCTATCAGTAAAGCATAAGTTACGTGAGGCAAGCCAAAGTGTTGACACCATTAATGTTCATCGAACAACATCCACAAATGCCCTCGCGACATGATCTACGGTAAGATAACGTAGGATCGTGTTGTGCTTTTATTAAGGCTAACATATCCAACACCATCGTACCGCATTTATTTAAATCGACAGCGAATTGTTGCATATAAGGCTTTACATTTGGCTTCTCAGGATTCCAACGATAGACTCGTACCGTCTGTAGCCTTGGTGTCTGAAGCATCTTTAGATTGGGAAGCAATAATTAATAATAATATGCAAGAATTAGCTAATGAAGATATATACTGACATACCGCTAATAATTCGCATAAGTTGCTTACAGATTCAATACGAAGCTATATTTTTATCAGTATTATATGTTTAAATTATCGCAATTTTTATAGAAGTGATAGTGCACTAAACACCAATAAATATGTACAAATATATCGGTACATACTTTGCAATATGTATACATTTATTGCGACATTCTTCTTAGCACTTAAATATAATGTATGGCAATGTGTACTTGAGTATGTACATATACACGATTAACCAGTTAAGCGTGTTTGTCGTGTATACACGTCAAACCAAATCTCTATTACGGCGCGTTCGACGTGTTTACTCGTCGTTGTGTCTTTCTCGTTTATGTATTTTATTATTATTTGAGAATTTTTAAGTTTGTAATAACAATAACTTTTCAGAAATAAATTGTTAAGTTTTTCTTAAATAAAAATGTAGTTCTTCTTCGTTTTTCATAAAATTTGTAATAGGACCATTCTGCCCTGCGTTCGTCGTGTATACACGTCATCGCTTGATTTTAATTCCGCACACTGTGAGGGTTTTTTAAAACTAAATTCGACGCTTAACTGGTTAAGGGCTTAATGTCTGCTCAATAAAGCTGTTGTTTATTAAACCTTTTTGTAATAGATTAGTTTAATTGTTCTGAAACTAAAATATTACCGAAATGTTACCGATATTTAGTATCTGCTTCCAATTTCTGCATATAGGTAACTATATACTTATTATACGATTTTTCATGTAACTATGCAGCTACCGTTGAAACTTTTAAACTGCAGAACGGCATAACAATTATTTACACAATTTTTGAAAAGTCACGATATGATGATAAAAGAGAGAAAATATTCAGTAAACATTAATTTTCTAAATGGGGCAAAAATAAAGTAAAACGTAATTGATCGCTAACTTCTGGAGTCATTTTGCATTGTTCTATAAGGGCACGTTCTGCGGCGACAGGATTATCTTTTTCATCAGGTGGTTTTTTTTCATTTGCTTTATCAGCCCTTTTTTCACTGGAGGAAAATATACGGCTTTGATGATGACTGCATTTACACGCGACTCTTCGACAAAGAGGCAAAATTATAGCACTCTTAAATTGGTTTGCGTAACTTGTGGTAGCAAGATTAAACATGCTTGTCAATTGAAAGCAGCCTTTCATGAATATCACGTCAAGTTACAAAGGCATGTTTTGTCTTTTTAATCTATAGACCGCTTCGTTGTCCGGTGTTTGCGTAATTATTTGCCGACCATGAGATACAAACAAAACATCATCATTCGAGAAAATTTCACTATCATTCATATAATCGATTTCAAAGTCATACATTGTATATAATGAAAACATAAATATTCAATATTTGTATCTTTAATGTTAGAAATCGATTGACTCGATGACTTGAATTTTTTTTTAATGTTGAAGGGGCTACATAGTTTATTGTAAAATAACTATAATACTTTTTTTCTGATTTCGCTATTACTTGAAATGAGTAAAAAGAGATAAAAAACACTCATGTTTTTTTTCAACTTTTTTATCTGAGCTTTTTTTAACGAAAATTTGAAGAATGCGTTTTGTAGATCTCGGTAACTTATATGCATGGTGAAAATTTTATCGAAATCGGTTGATTTTGATATAAGCTACAAGCAATTAAAGATCGTGAGGATCGCAGTTTTGTCATGATTTTTGTCACTTTCGACCAATTAGTGTGAGAAATCTGTATCTTTTTAAATTTCTTAACGTTTGTAGCTTGACTCGAAATTGTTAACAAAAATTCTCAAATCTACAAAAGTGGTCTTAAGTATGCGGCCGCCACTGTATACATATACATACATTACATCTTCTTAGTATCTCTTCTTGCACAATCGTTCGTTTTTGCAGTTTTAATTGCGCAAGTAAACTATATTGTGCAAGCTTGTACAAATATATAGATATTTACAAGTATATTTCTCCATGAAGCAATTCGATTCAAGTCTATATACACATATATGGATTTTATAATAAAGAAAAAAAGGTGTTATTTCAATTCTTATTAGTAATCACAGTTAAAAAGGAGATATGTATGTATCAAGAGAATATTTATACACATTTATATATTAATATCTTTTTTAATTTTATAATTAATATTTTTACACAATTATACACATTTTATAATCGAAAAGATTCTTCAGAGAATAAAAATGTACTAATTTGATATCTAAAGGTTTATATTCGTTGAAATCTAATAAATTGTTTGGACAGCATATTAGTTTTCAATAGTGTATATGTTTTTCATAATAAAAGATAGCTGCTCAAGAGGTCAGATGTCATCATTTGTGATAAATGGGTTATAATGTATTAACCCCTGCGAAGAAATACATACATAGTCTTTTCGTAATACACATAGCAGTACGTCAATAAATAGCATTCACTCTATGAACATGAGTGAATAAGATTTTTCAATTGTACACAGACTTCAATTCGTTACGACCTGTTGCTTTCACGAAGGTGATTTTTCCAAATATTATAAAGCGACCAGTATAAAACTTCCAACCACGTGCATCATCAAAAAACTGTTGGCGAAGTGAAAAAGTGAGTATTATATCACGTATTTTAAACATTTTATAAACGGAGGTTATATAGTTTCAAATATTTAGTGAATCGTGTAAAGTGATGTATATATACGTTAGAGTAATTCTTTTCGTTTTTTTAACATTTTTGCATGAACGTTTATATTATTGCTAAATATTTGTACTACATTAGAAATATAGATATTCTTTACCATACGTTATTTTCATTATCATTAAATTTTATATTTTCTAGATATAATGGCACACATTGTTTTGGTTATTGGTGCTGGTGGTAGAGAACATGCTATTGTTTGGAAACTATCATTGTCTCCACAAGTGAGTATATCAAATATCATATGCTAATGTTCAACAATTATATTAAAATTTAACTCTATTTTAGGTAAATAAAATCTATGTTGCTCCTGGAAATGTTGGAATGACATCAATTGATAAAGTTTCTTTAGTGAAATTAAATGTTAAGAGCAATGAGGTATTTCTATAGTAGTCTTTATTCCTTGAAACAATATATATTAACAATGTACTAAAATTAGTCAATTAACAGGAAGTATCAAAATGGAGTAAGGACAATAAAGTGAGTTTAGTAGTAGTTGGTCCAGAAGAATATTTAGCAAATGGTTTAGCCGATGAATTAAAAAATGTAGGAATCCATTGTTTTGGTCCTGAAAAAGCACCATCAAAAATTGAAGCTGATAAATATTGGGCAAAGGAATTTATGGATAGACATAAAATTCCTACAGCAAAATGGAAAGGATTTAATAATGCTGAAGAAGCAAAGAAATTTGTTATGAAGTATGTATACATTTGTATTTGCACATAAATTATTTTGAAAAACTGTTCTAAACATAGTACTTCATTGTAGTGCAACATTTCCAGCTCTTGTAATAAAGGCTGCAGGTTTAGCAGCTGGTAAAGGAGTAATAGTAGCTAAAGATAGACAAGAAGCATGCAATGCAATAGATGAGATTTTAACAAAAAAAAAATTTGGATCTGCTGGAGAATCAATAGTTGTAGAGGAGTTACTAGAGGGAGAAGAAGTGTCTGTACTTGCATTTACAGATGGTACAATATAAAAACTTAACAATAGATAAAATTGCATTACATTTTGATGATATAACTATTCTCTGTTCATAGGAAAAACTATTGTACCAATGGCACCTGCCCAAGATCACAAACGAATTTTCAATGATGACATGGGACCAAACACTGGTGGTATGGGTGCTTACTGTCCATGTTCTTTATTGCAGAAAGAAGATTATGAATTGGTGAAAGCAAACGTTCTACAGAAAACAATTAATGGTCTCAGAGAAGAAAAGATTCCATTTGTTGGTCCGTTATATACAATATAATATTATTCAAAGATAGGTGAAATTTACAAAGATAAGTTAACTATATTCAAATTTATAATGTTAAAATATTTAGGTGTATTGTATGCTGGATTAATGTTAACAAAGGATGGACCTAAAGTTCTAGAATTTAACTGCAGATTCGGGGATCCGGAAACACAAGTAGTGTTGCCACTATTGAAATCAGATTTATTTACAATTATGAAGGTAATAAATACTTTAATGTAGTGATATTTTCTTAAAATTAATATGCTGTACATTAATATTCAGGCATGTTGTGATGGATTGTTGAACGAATCTCAAATTTCATGGCAAGAAAATGTATTTGCTGTTGGTGTTATTTTGGCCTCTTGTGGATATCCTGTGTCATCATCAAAAGGCCAAGTTATAACTGGTGTTAATGATGTTTTGCGTAAAGCAGATCATTTTGTTTTTCATAGTGGAACAGATATTTCTCCTCAAGGAGAATTATTGACTAATGGTATATTTTTAATAAAAGACAATGGGATTCAATTAAATATAATAGATGTAAATTATTTTATTTTATTCTCTTTGATGCTAGGAGGAAGAGTTCTTATTACAGTCAGCTTAGCACCTTCGTTAACTTTAGCTGCTGCTAAAGCCACTAATGCTGCTCAAAACATATTCTTTGATGGAAAACAGTTTAGAACTGACATAGCACACAAGGGAATTGCAAGGTATGTGAAACTAGCAATTATGTATTAAGAATATTGATTCATAAAGAAATATTTTCAGATCTATATTACATCATGGAAAACTTACATATAAAAGTAGTGGTGTAGACATAGCAGCAGGAGATTCATTAGTTACTGCTATTAAACCAGCTACATGCTCGACGAAACGGTTGGGAACAATGGGTTCAATAGGTAGCTTTGGTGGGTTGTTTGACATAAAGGCAGCAGGTTATAAAGATCCAATCCTAGTGTCTGGTTCCGATGGTGTTGGAACTAAATTAAAGGTATAAGTGATATGTTAGTTAGAAGTTTCTAAATACCATTGACTCTTTTATTTTTACAGATAGCATTTGAATGCAATAAACATGATACAGTTGGTATAGATTTAGTGGCTATGTGCGTAAATGATGTTCTTGCGCATGGTGCAGAACCACTATTTTTCTTGGATTATTTTGCCTGTGGAAAATTGGATGTTAATGTAGCCAATGATGTTATCAATGGCATAAGTGAAGGATGTAGAAGAGCAGGATGTTCATTGGTATGCAATCATAATGTTTTTAAAGATTTCAGATATACACAAATAAATATTAGGTCGAGTAACATAAAATTATTTTCAAAAATGAATACAATTCTTGAGTTACCAGTATCAATTCTATAGCTAATTTTTGTACAAGTTTATTAATTAAACTAAAGTACAGTTAACTTTATATAAGAGATCAATTTCAAATATAAAGTGATCCAATATACATATTGTTAGTATTGCGAGTAACATGATTCATATTAAGTTCGAGTTTAAGCTATTTAAAAGTACTTTTATTGTCACCATTATATAAAATGTCTACAAAGATTATAGACGTACAAAAATAAAAGGAAACAGTAATGATGATTGATGAAGAATTATGTAAACTATAAATGATTAAAAATCTATTTCATATTGTATAACTTAATATGTATTCTTATATACACACATTGAATTTAATGAAAAATCGTTTTATTTTGTAAATTATAAGGTTTGCGTAATATTTTTCAAAAAAATATTTCTAGATTGGCGGTGAAACAGCAGAAATGCCTGATATGTATTCTCATGGAGAGTATGACTTAGCTGGATTTGCTGTAGGTGCAGTTGAAAGGGACAGAATACTTCCACGTTCAAATGATATAAAAGATGGTGATATTGTAATTGGTCTTCCATCAAATGGGGTACACAGTAATGGATTCAGTCTCATCCGAAAAGTTTTAAAACTAGCAGATAAAAAATATTCAGATATTGCACCATTTTCTGAAACTGCGCGTACATTCGGTATATAATACTTTTTCTTATGCTTTGTACATTATACTTTGTTTTTTTTTTATAGAAATAATTAATTTATATTTCTTATATATTAAAGGCGAAGAATTGTTAGAACCAACCAAAATTTATGTAAAAGGAGTTATTGCCGCTTTGCAAACGAATTTGGTAAAGGCATTTGCGCATATTACTGGAGGTGGTCTTACGGAAAATATACCGAGAGTTTTGCCAAAAAATATGGGAGTATTATTAGATGCTAATAAATGGAAAATTCAATCAATTTTTAGTTGGTTGGCAGCTTTTGGTATGAAAAAATAGAGATAAAATACATAAATTACATTGTTTATATAAATTTATTTTATATTTTGATATATTTGAATATATTTATATCTTTAGGTGAAATTAATAAGGAAGAAATGTTAAGAACATTTAACTGTGGTATTGGTGCAGTGTTAATATGTTCACAAACAGAGAAGGATAAAGTTCTACTTAAATTGCAATCAGAAAATCCAATAGTTATTGGACATGTAACAAATTTCAAAGGTAAGTTCGGAAATATATTTGTTTTATCATTGTATAGTAATCGATGGTATTAAACTTGTAGACAATGAAGTTAGAGTGAATGTTAAAAACTTTGAAGCAGCATTAGAATTAGGCATGAAGCAATACATACCCAATATCGTTGCAAAATTAAGTCAACCTTTGAAAAGAGTGGGTGTTCTCATATCTGGTAGTGGTACTAATTTGCAGTCATTAATTAATGCAACTCAAGATCCGACACAACATATTGATGCGGAAATAGTTTTAGTAATATCCAATAAACCAAATGTTGAAGGTCTTAAACGAGCTGAAAGAGCTGGTATTAAAACTAAGGTTGATACTTTTTGTAACTCTATAATTTTTGACATATCAGTGAACATTTGGGTAATAATGAACGTTTTAATTTAATGTTTTATGGCAGGTTTTGAAAAACACTGATTATCCTAATCGAGAAGCTTTTGATTCAGCAATGAATGTGGAACTAGAAGCTGCTGGAGTTGAGATAGTTTGTCTTGCTGGGTTTATGCGTATTCTATCAAACAGTTTTGTACATAAATGGCGAGGAGCATTAATAAATGTGCATCCATCATTGTTACCATCTTTTAAAGGGGCAAAAGCACATGAGGATGCATTAGCAGCTGGTGTACGCGTATCAGGGTGTACAGTACATTTTGTAGAGGTATAAAATTGTCTTATAAATTAATACAAAAATAAGAATGCTTTCGAAATAATTCTTTGTGATAAACGAATTATTGTAGGTCGAAATAGATTCTGGAGCAATCATTGAGCAAGCAACAGTACCTGTTTTACCAAATGATACTGTAAAAACACTTCAAGAGCGTGTAAAAACTGCCGAACATCGTATCTTTCCCCTAGCTTTAAAACACTTAGCTAATAGAAGAATAAAACTAAAAGAAGATAATACTATTATATGGTATTATTAAAAATACAATGTGTTGTATTACGTTTTGTCTATTAAATGATATATTTTTTACTGTTTATTAATCATTTCTTATATACAACTCTTTATCATTTTGGAGAGAAATAATTGATAAATTCAACATCCATACAATGTAAAAAGAGGTATATTTCATTTTTTATGAAATGGTTTTGATAAAAATGAAGTTAAAGTTTCAAGTATGCTTTCATTATATTCTTTCATACCAAAAATAGAGTTCATATTTTCATAATTCGAACGCTTACTAATTTTTTTCTTTGGTGTCATAG